ATTTGCCTAAGACAAGTAGCAATGTACTTGAAATAATATTCATTGAGAAATTATGGACAACGATTACGTCTGAGAACTGAACCACTTGTTGCTACAAACGAAAACTACGCATGCGCAAATGGACTAATTTAAATAGACTTTGTGTGTCTCAAAGATGGCCTTTGTTGTTGAAAGAAGTTAGGAAACTGAAGCAGGTCAGGATAAAATGGATGATGTTCGTCAATTTAGGTGTTTGTAGCAGGTAGTAGAAACATCATAGATACTTAACCTTAATTGTTAATTTCGATGAGATTACGTGTATCTAGTAACGACGCTATTGCAGACGCGCTGTTGTATGACAAACATAAATTGAACCGATAAACGATACGATATAAATATAACTACTAATCAAGAGGTTGAAAGATTCACCAGGGTCTGCTAGGCACCCATAGCTCAGTTGGTAGAGCGGTGGAACGGCAATCCACAGTCCCGGGTTCAAGTCCCGGCGGTCGCTTGTGAATTTTTCAATTTTCTCATTTTCAAGTTATGAGTATGAATAGTATGATATTGCGCTGTGAGTGCGTTAAAAATTCCAATACATTTGATATAACTACGGATGGCAATTGGCTCTTGTTTAGCAAAGATCTTTTACCCCATGATGTACTGCTCTAATACTTGAATCCATTCATGTCAAGGAATGTGCGAAAAAGAAGTACGGAAAAACATGTTACCCGAGCGGTTAAACATTTACTTAAACAATTTTTTGTAAGATTTGTGCAAAAGTACTTTGCGTTGTATGTAAGTACCTCATCGCAGCAACGTAAAATGTACTAAATTCTATTCGCGATAACGAACTAGTACCAAATTTTTATTTGTCCCTTTCACAAACGTGCATAAAAGCGGCCATTATTTGTAATTTTGTGCCTTTTACTCACATGCAAAAACACGTTGGACTATATAATTGAAAATATACGTTTCTGTTGTTTACAAATCTTTTCACATTCTGTGAGAATTAATTGTTTGATGAATGATATGTGCTACGATAAGAGCCTCTGAAATACTCATTAAGATGGTATTAACCTACATTCTATTTGTGACATGGTCTGTTTCTGTTTTATAACTTTAAAACAAAAACAGACATTAAATACCTATTCTGTGATAAACTAATAAGTTTTTTTTTTCATCTGAAATACACCTTTAATCTATTTCAAAACTCTGGCGTCTCGGTGCATCGGGTCGTTCATCAATACACGAAAAAAAAAGAAACGGGAAGAAGATATATTTACCTACATATTTTAATAGAGTTTAAACGATTATATCGCAAAACTCACGCGTAGGTATTACCTACCTACTTAATATTTTAAAGACGGGCTCTCAAAAGAACTTTTAAAGAAAATTATTCTTGACATTTTATCGGTTTCAGTAGATACCTAATTAACTTAACTAATACAATATCATCTAATGTTTAGTCATGATTTCTGCCGATTAGACAAGAGACTCATTCATAAAAATATTCTCAACCTTCTAATTTGACAGATAGAGAAAGTTTCACTGGTTTCACTACTAATACGAATATACCTATCAACCATGTAAACGACCGGGCCGTGGAAGCGAAGTGGTAGTGCGACTGCCTGCGATAGAAGATTCCAGGGGTTCGATTTTCGGTGGGTCAATCACAAAGAAGATAAGATATTTATCACTTTTATTTCTCACTTAAATACTATGTTCTCAGTCTGGTTGGGATATTGCAGGTAAACCACCGAAATATCTGAAAAGATAGATGATTCCATGCTTCCCGGCTGCTGGATATGACTACTTAGACGGCGATAATTATACAAAAATATCAGAGGCCTGCTATTTGTAGCAGGTGATTGTTAAACTCTATCACCAGAGTTCATCGGGTCGTGAGACAAATCGGGGTTCCACAGGAAGATAGAAATCGTAAAGTGTATATAGTCGTAGAAAGTGTCAAATCAAAACTCCTCAAATATACCTAAACCACGGAATTCCTATGAGAAATCGTTTCTCTAGGTCACGTACGGTACGGTAGGTACGCCTCTTGATGTCACACTTATGTCTACAGCATCTCTTTTGACGTGTTGCCTGTCAAGTGCGTTCATGGTGTGTTCGTGTTGTGTATGATATGATTATAAGCGTCGGTCGGTACACTCGGGATTTTACTCTAGAATCCTACGTTTCGCTCGTAATGCAAAATGACGTCCTCGCCCTAAATATATTAAATAAGTACTTCATTTAAAAACTAAGGATTCCTCTACCTCGTGGCTAGCCGGGCATATCAAAATTTCATTCAAAATTACCGGCAGTACGGAAAAACCACTTTAAAATATGATATTCTTAGGCTGGGATCATACGAGTACGGAACGTCAGCTGCTGCGCTATTTTAGCATAGGGCAATACGAGTTTTTATCCTCTGTGTGATGCGCATCGCTAGATGCGTCTGTCAAACCGTTTGACAAACATAAACCGTATTTGTATGAAGTTAAGGTGAAAGTTCGCATGTTCCGAACGAATGCGTTAAGTGTGATTCCCGCCTTAACTAAAAAACAAACTAAACTAAATTGACCAAATTAAGCTACCTTTGCTTAGGTATACTTACCTATCTAGTAAAGCGATCCAGTTCGACACCTAAAATATCTGTAAAGGGGATCGTTCGATTCAACCGTCCCTGGAGGCACATCCATCGTCCGGATTTCTTAGAATTGCAAATAAGTAAGTGCCTTTTGAAAGGGATCGACGAATTCCGAGATTTTTAAGGTAAGTAATGCCAATTTTACGCTCTTTATGCGAACTTATAGCACAAATTAGGAAAACGGCTTTACAGATAGCTCACTCAGTACTACCGAAGATTTTGTCGCTTATGGACTTTAACTGGTAATAAATAAACTTTAACTCGGTTAACTTGAATCTCAGAGAAACTCAAGGTACCTAAGAAGATGGTTCCCACGTACGTCATATTTCTTGGATTGAAATCGGCTCAGAATTGTATAACGTTAATATTTAGAGCTTTATTTCATCCTCGTATTGAATCCAGCAACCCTGGCTATGTAACAATAGAGACTAGTTATCCTTCTGTGAACTCCCCATTCTGTGTTTAGTATGGGTGGCTGTTACATGAACTCATTGAATTACTGAATATGACCTCTTTCCATGAAAAAGAGACCCTAACTCATAAGTAAAAAATATTCAATGCCGGGACACAATTCTGGAGAAATTGTAGAAATAAAGCCCTCCAATTTGGTCGACCATTTTAACAAATCCGGTTACTGAATGAAACATTTACGTTGCTTTTTGTAAAGGGTCTTAATGAAGTCAGCCTTGATCCTAGAGGCTCCAACAATTTGTAAATTCTGATATTAATAACAAGCAACAATTTTAATTTCTGATAGGTATTATTGTAGTTCCTATATTCTCATAACCAATTTTAAGCCCGTATTTGTGTGGAAAAAGACGTTATCCATCCAGTCTTTCTTTTCACGTGGCACACTGAATTCTTCAAAGACCGTATAAACCGTCAGATTTTCAACCGCCTACTACTAGTAGTAGGGCTCTGAAATGGCTATGGAATGACCGCCGTCTAATCATAGGCAGCTACCAAGACCGACGGCTTGTCGTGCCCTCAGAAACATTTTTCATTTCGAATAGGTGGTAAATATAGTCAACCACATGGTGGCGGTGTTACAACCTACAACAGCATTTTTAAAGAGGGTTGACGACGGCAGGTGGCTGGTTATAAAACGTAGCTAAATCCTTTTGCTACACGATTTTGTGCTCTAACAATACATGTTGCGCCGTCCCCAACTTATTTTGAATTGCGGCAGGTGACGGTAACTTTGTTAAGAATGAATTATATTGAAACCCTCAAGGCTATGATCTCGTCGTCAAGGGTAATATTGGCTGATCCACTCAGAGCTCGACTCTCGCAGGGAGCAAGTATCCCATTATTTGGCTGCTCGTTATTTGATGCCTGTTTTTTGCCGACAGCCGACGCGGCACGGCGGCGCCTGGCGCGACCCCCTTTCCCTCCCTGGTGTATGGTCCAAAGTAAAGACTATGGACCTAAAAAGTTACTAAGTAAAGACACTAAAAAGTTTGATTCACATTGAATTCGTGCTTGAAATGCTTCAAATATTCAACACTCGTCTAGCTTTTTGTGGCAAGGCTCAAGTTTATCTGAAAGACATTCTCAAGATCGATGCCTCGCAAATTTGTATATTAGTTAGCCCATGGTCGCTAGACGCTATTATAAAAATAAAAACTCATTTCGTTGTTACGAAACCGGTCGTTCTTAAAACTGTTGGCACTCTCCTACCCAGCAAGGGATAAAGGCTTGTCTACGGTTTCATATTTTCAAACAACATTTAAATCTTACCCTTCCATGGAAACTGCCAGGGTTGGCGCTGGCAACCTTAGTGGGTTTTTATCTACAAAGGTGTCCCTTTCGATAGGGAAATATTTCGAAAGGTAGAGCCATGTTTTATTTTTTAATATGAAATTTATTTTTCAACTCCGCTAAAAGAAAATCTGCCCGAATATTGGATGGGAATCTACTGTTTGCTTGACCACTTAAACATTCATATCTACCTACATATCTTCCGTTCGATAGTCCGAGATAAGACTGTCAAATGCAGCTCTATTATTAAGTGAACTCTCTCCCGCAGCTTGCACTTGTACCACACAATCATTGTGAAGGACTGACTGAGAATAAACAGCCGGTTTCCATGTAAATTGTGACTTTACACACAGCCGGTGACAAGCTTGACAAGTCACTATTGAGCCGTTTAAGCCCGTCTGTCGACTCCTGTATGCCTCAAAAGGGGCGACAATTGGGAGATAATTTTGAATATGTTCTTATTGGTTGCCATTTCATACAGTTACATAAAGTACCTTAGTGAATTGAAAATGAGTATATAGTAAAGTTCTAAATACTTTCTACAGATGTCGCTGGATCGTCGCTTCGAGACGAGCATCGAGAGGTTGAAAGATTCACCAGGTTCCGCTAGGCGCCCGTAGCTCAGTCGGTAGAGCGGTGGAACGGTGGGTGATCCACAGACCCGGGTTCAAGTCCCGGCGGTCGCTAGTGAATTTTCAATTTTCTCATTTTCAATTCATGAGAACAATATTGCGCTGTGAGTGCATTAAAAATTCCAATTCATAAGTACCTTAACGGGGTGTAGAGGACAGATTTCTAAATAATGAAAGGCGTCATTAATGGTCTGAAACTGAACAACTTCCCATAAGAAAGCATTTCAGGAAAGGACAAAAATAATCGGCCTGTGATACAAAAACACGATTGAATTTAACTATGGGAAGTTAAAAAAAATACGTTTTCTTGAAATATTTTAAAATGGGAAGTTGTTCAGTTTCATGGTTTTAATGCGCCCTATCAGTATTAGGAGAGTCCCATATAGGCGAGAAACACACGCAACGTCGGTTTGTGCATCGTTTGTTCGATTTTCCACCTTATTTTTATACGAATACGGTTTATGTCAAACGATTTGACAGACAACGCAGCGTTGTGCGATGCCGTTTAATACAAACCGTATTCATATGCAGGTAGGGTGGAGAATCGAATGAACGACGCACAAACCGACGTTGCGTGTGTTCCTTGCCATACCCTGTACTTTTATTTGCCAAGTCGTAATCATTGAATTATGTTTCTTCAGCACATATTCCATCAAAAGTCCATTAGAATAGTATCGATAAGTTTTGTTGCATTGCGTTCTCTTGTATTTGTTAACTTATTAAAAATAATAAAAGCTTATCTACCTATCTACCTACCGACAGCCGATGTGGCGCAGTGGTTAGTATGCCTGCCTGCCACGCAAAGGTTCCGGGTTCAATTTCCGGTGGGGTCACTCACAAAGTTGATATTTATCACTTGGTGAATTTGTTCCCAGTCTGGTTAGGACATTGCAGGCTGAACCACCTGATTGTCCGCAAGTAAGATGGTTCCGTGCTTCGGATGGGCACGTTTAGCCGTCGGTCCCGGTTGCTGTCTATGATGGCGGTCGTTACACAACCATGTCAGAGGCCTGCTACTTACAGTAGGCGGTTGAAAAACTCTGACACCAGGGTTCATCGGATCGTTGAACGACTTGGTGTCCCACACGAAAAGAGAGAGAGAGAGATCTACCTACCTACATACGAAACAAAAACTTGAAGTACAAACTCGTAGCAATTGGCTACGGCGTAGCAATCCAGTCGGTCGGAGCAATAAATTACGTGTCAACTATCATATGTGTGCAATTACATCATATTTACGGTTAAGAACGTCAAAGATATACTGTTCTGTAAAAATGCTATACCTATAATTAAAATAATAAATAAAAATAACCGATCGTGCGTCAAACTTATTTGATTAAATTAGATCGAATGCTTCGAGTAACGCGATCTTCTGTCTCTCCGGATGATCAATTGCATCGTGCTAGTATTTTGCAAAGACTTTATTGCCGACATGTGAAAACAAAATTAAATCTTTAAAAATACCCACGACAGTTTCCTGCAGCGCCCCTTGGTGAGATAGAAGCGTAAAACCTATCTAAGAATAACCACCAATCAAAACCATTACTGAAAACCGCATTGTAATCGGACTAGTGATTTTGAAGATAATTGATTGTCACAAACAAACGTTTATTGCAGCGCCCGCTGGTGATATGTTCGCGTAATATCTAAGAAAAAGAAAAATCTAAATCCATCACTAAAAACCGCATCAAAATCGGACTAGTGGTTTGGTAGATATTTGGTAACATAGGTTTGCACACACAAACAAACACACATTCTCTCACCCCAAACGCATATACCGTCTCCGTTCCGTCATGGGTAAAAAAGAGAACTGTTGTGTAAAGAAACGTCTATAGGTAGGTACAAAAATATTTTACACTTCAATTGGGTCACGCAAGGTAAAAGATTTCTTCAGTATCAGTAATAATACGAGAGAGCTTGGCCTACTTTTTCAATGATTTAGGGACATTGACCGACCATACAGATAAATAAAGACTTCATTTATCGAATCTTGTACTTGGCCAGTCATTACTTTATTTCTCTTTTATTATAGGACTGAATAAACAGAATAAACGGGTTATAAAAGAAACCCGTTTGTCTCGTCTAGAGATATTTTTTTTTATATTTTTATACGTAGGTATGTAGTGAGGTATAAGCGTTTTACAACAGGTAAATTTTTCAATGTGTATTATGCATAAGTAGGTATTTGATATTTTATACAGGGTGATGAAAGGAAATTCGATACATAACCCAAAGGGGGTAAGAGGGGACGCCATTCGCAACATATTCTTCCATAGAACTAAGGGTCGGAAATATTTTTATTTACAGAATGTAAAAAAAACAATTGCAAATATTTTGAGGGGTGAACCAGCTCATGAAACTGAACAACTTTCCACAAGTAATTTAGGTCGAAATATGATAATATTTTTTGTGCCTCCCATACAAAATGTATCAGCCAGCCGAGTAAATTTTTATGTGTGTATGCAGTATGCCTATATTTCGTGGGAATATTGTTAAGTTTCATTGGCTGGTTCACCCCTTACAATATTTGCAGTTGATTTTTTACACTTTATACAACGTGTTACAAAACAACCCATAAAAACTCCCATACAAATGAAGTTCATTTTGTATGGGAGGTCCAAATTCTTTTTTCATATTTTGACTCATGTTCCATAGAGAATGTTGTTCAGTTTTACGAGTACGTTGACCTCCTTTCAGATTTATTGGTTGTTTTGTAACACCCAGTATATAATGTTAGAGAACTGTACAACTTTTATACCTTTTGCGTTAGATTATGAAACAGAGGAGTAATGTATGCAGTTTGGATGAAATTTTCTATGATGCTTTTTACAAATAAATGTTGCATCACACAATTCTTAAAATCAATGGCCCTAATAATTTTATGACTATTATTGCTTCCCGACCTAAATGGGTTCTGCTTACCACTTCTTTCTTTTCAAATACCTATTCTAATGATATATTTTTTTGTTACATGTAATGTTCCTGACGCTGTTCCACATTACAGGTAAGTTTAATAAAAGTATGGTTTCAGAATAATACATATATACCTATACTTAATTTTTCTTAAAATTGCAACCTGCCTATGTAAGTGCAATGTATTTTTGTGGCGAAAATTTTGCCATAATAGGTACTTTTTCTGATGAAAATATAATCTTTGCAGTCTAGTATAAGATCGTGTGAAGATTTGTTTCGTTTCACATGTTTATTTTATTTTATTTATTTATCCCAAGGTGTTTCTTTTTTCGAAACATACAGGTAAATATATTTAGTACTATCATTCGGTATGTATAAACACTATTTAGATAAGTATACACACATAGTGATATAAGTAGATATTAATTCTAGACGTAAGTAATTGCTTGGCAAATATCTCAAGTACCCACTTTCTCATGAAGTAGGTGCTTTTTATTACAAGCAGAGGGTCGTAACCAGGCAAAAACACATAATATGTTTGATAGTTCGTAAATTTTTCAATTTTTATCATCTCTCACATAACTGTTTTAGGTAAACCGTCTATAAACTCGCTTACTTGGCTGGTAGCCGGCCTTAGAACATTGCAAAATCTTTTTGTTACATTATTTTATGCTGTAACAAAGCATGTTGTGCCAACCCCAACTACCTGTAATAAATAGAGTAATTTAGTAATTGTAAATTTTTGTAGTGTATTCACAATAACGAACTAGTATAAGCGCCATCTCAAAATGACAACTATCGCCGCATTTCAGCACGTAAGTGAAAGGACCAACACTATAGTCCGACAAATTCGTGCGCGGCCTTCCCTAGGGGTGACAGACGTTGAGGGGGGAGATGTCAGCGGGTAGCGGGAGGTATAGTAGGGAAGGGAGACGAGCGCATCCGCGCCGCATGTCATATTAAAATGACGTGCTTCCTCGCCTCCCCACCGTCTGTACCCCACAGGAAGGTCTCGCACTACGTTGTCGAACTATAGTTCGTTATCGTAATTAAAGTGTCTTCCTTTTTATGATAGTTAGTTGAAAAAATATTTGCTTACAACTACGCTCTGGATACGGCCCTCACTCCACTTTACTGCTTCTACGAATCTCCTACGGCCAAGGCACGGCACATATATTTATGGCAGCCTTAGTTTATGACTGTTCACGGGCCATAAGCACCCATTAATGGCACATTTTATGATTTCAGATAAGGTCACGTTTAAGCCAGAGAGTAAGTCGTTTGGTCATTTGTGTTAGAGCAGCCTTCGCTAGATTAGACTAATGCTTCATTTGTTTTTAATCAAAAAGGAAAAAATGCTGGTTGAAAGCGAATATAAATTCAAAATGAGAATAAAATTAGGAAAGGTTTTCAAAAAGAACCTTCTTCTAAAACCTGCATTGATAGCGATATTTGCAGACGTTATTAGTATACTTTGCCTTTACCTATCAGCAGCATTTCGAGGTACCCATTTGCGGATCAACGAATATTAGTTACTCTTAATATTCATTCAAGCCTCAATACTGAGCCTACCCTTAAACTAGGATACGCAATGAAATTAACACCCAGTAAACATAGTTTCAAAACCAATATAAGTTCGTTCCTCGAATAGGTAAGTAGAGGTGTTGCTGATAGCACTGCAAAAATTGAATCTAAAGTCTTTTATATAAATTTTGATTAAATAAATAAGAGATAGCCTTAGACATAGCTATTTACTCGGCTAAAACTTAATTTAGCTTACTATAATGAAAATCAGAGAACAAAAAATTTAATCAGTGAGAAAATGGCAGAAAGCTCTCAAAAGAAAATTACAATCACGCAAAGTAGTGCTCTAAGCTTTAACGCTACATAGAAAGTGGTTTAGATCTAACACGCTTAAAAAGCTACACTAAAACTAAATTAGAGAATTGGCGAAATAACTAGGAACAGATGCTGCTTACCGCTGCTAGTATGTAGAATGCCGCGAGTCAAATGATATAAATAATACTCTTGTACTATTGACAATCCACCTAACCATTTAAGGGACCAACGTTTACTGCCAAAATAGGAGGCTACCATAGCCACCTGCGGGCGCATCAGCGCCGACTTGATCAGGAGTAGAA